GATAAAAACTCAAATATGCAGGATCGACAATTTTCCGCAGCCATGGCGGGGGCGAAAAAGAAAACTATGAAAACATCATAAATTTCCCACAGTCAGAAAAGTTTTAGAGAGAGCTGCTGACTCACCCACATACGCGTACCCACACATCCACAAACACACACTCCCACACCCACACACAAACACACACAAAGGAATCGAGAGGATTCTGAACGAAGATAGCTGATTATCCAAATGAACTTTTTGCAGGCGGAACCAGTGAAAATTGCAAAAGGCCTCCTTCCACTCACAATTAATGCCTCGATTGGAGAGAATGTTGCAGACGAAAGTGCTGGGATGAAGGGAACTCAGACCATCGCCGATTCCAGCTGAAAATCGGACCCACAAAGGTCACCGAATTACGGCACTCATTTGGCTGCTGATGGGAAAGATATAAAGTGGAGGCTACTGCACATTTTCGGATCGGTATGGGTCCAATTTCGGTTAGTCAAGTGGACCTCCTAATTGTCCCTTAATTGACTAAGCTGCTAGATACCACAGATTGTGTTTAGGCATATGTGGGCACTTACAACCTTTGGAATTTGGTAAAACAAAGGAAAAAGACTTGAATAAATATTGGATAAGAAATAGTAACTAACAAAAAAATAACTTCAATGTTTGGAGGATTCTTAGTTATGAATAAGTGAATATAAAAAAAGGTATCTTTAAGTATCAATCCTTTGATTATATTGACTATATTATTTAACAATCAGTTAAAAGAAATATTGTTATATTTTATTAATATTTTCTACCTTACTCATATGGTTCCTTTGTCACCTTCAACCCTTCTGGTCTGGTAAACATTTCTCCATGTTGTTCGAAGAACTGGCTGTTTTCAAAGGGTTTACTTAGGCCACATCCACAAGCGTAATATCCACTTAATTATCATTCGAAGAGGCGGAACGAAAACAGCAAAAACCCACAGAAGAAATTATTGTGCAGAGTGCTGCGAAAACATTATTAGCGTATGTGGGTCACAATCGCACTAGCACAAATGCTAAAAAGCACATAGACGCTTTTTGCATTTCACAGAAGTCTTGCGAAGTTGTAGAAAGCATTGTTGTTGTTGTTTTTGCAGGGTATTTTCCACAGCACACAACTTTTTGCCATAAATACAAATATACTCCATGTGGGGTGAACAAGAGTTTTCCCAGCCATTGCTGCTCTCTGGCTTATTTATTTGTTTTATTATAATAATCTGTGCCACCACTCCCAAAGGCAACACTTGTAAGCGGAAGTGCAAGTGACTGCCAACTTTTCTACTCACTTTTGGTTTGGTAAAATATTTTTGTTCTTTCCACGTGAACACCTTTTCAAGTATTTTTAAAAGCATTGTTATTTTTGCAGAAATTTATCCAAATTTGGCTGTCTGTTGAATGTTTTTAAAGTACTACTGCAAATTACATATCCAAAAATCAAACACTCTAAATTAAACAAATATTTTGCTAAGGAACATTACATGTTTCTACCGCAGATCTTTCTGAAAACGAAATCTAATAATTTAAAGTCGTTTTCCCTTATAATATTTTTACTTCTTATTCCTTCCAAGGGAAAATCGAATCACTCTGGATCAGCCTGCCACTTATCCAGACTTCTTATTGAGTGAGTCAGTCAACAACTTCTTCATCCTTGCTGAAAATCATTGATGCTTACACTCATCAACAAAGTGGAGGAGGAGATGTTGAATGTTGGAGCAAAAAAAGGAATACATCTCCCTGCAAATATTATGGCAGTGGCAATATTTACACTTTTCACGCTTTTCACGTTTCGACTGGCTTTCCATTTGTTCATTTTTGGCACTTGCCAATCTCGTTCTATCCGTATACATTTATATATATATATCTATCCATCCATCCGTCGAACTTTTCTGTGCACTTTGCCATCTTCAACGCTTCGTTTGCCGCACTGGGTTTGCCAAAATAATATTCGTAAATAATTTTTGCACCTTGATGTGATTTGTGCGCAAAAATGTTTTCCAAATGATTTGTTTGCCTAGGTATTTGCTTTTATCTGTTTTCCCCTGCTGTTGGCCAATAGACGGAGGTGAGTTCGGAAAAGCCCGGAGCAGGAGCACTCAGTGTAATTGTATTTGCCTTTCGAGCTTCCTTCGCGTCATTTTACGCCCACGCAGCGAAAGTCAAACACAAACAAATAAAGCGTTAAAGAGAAAGAGGAGCGCCAAAGAAAATAGGCGAAGGGGGAGGGGAAAGAGGCGGGAGGACTGTGGCAACGGAAGCGAGGAAAATGTGTGCCGGAAAATGGCGATGCACATTGATTAAATCAAATAAAACGAACGCAAATAAGAAAATTGGATAAAGGCAATACAACAGTTTTAGTTCGTCAATGCGAGCATATTTTTGCGTACCACAAATGGCTCTTGAGTTTCAGCAAAAGAATTCAATTCAATTCATTTTTTGCAGAAGTCTTCATTTATGGTTAGCCTTAGGGAATATTTACATACTAAAAGCTATCTAATTAAGTTAAGTAATAATATTTCGATTAAATAACTAACTAAGTATTTGCTGTTTCGAAAGGAGATATACTCTCCAGTGTTTCTCATCCGATTTCCGTGTATCACTTGTATTAATACGCCTTTCTTGCATCTTTGCAGTTGGCAACGGGGAACGTGATGCCAAGTTTCCCAGAACAACTTTGTAATTTCCCAAACAATTTTCATGGCACGCAGGCAGGCGAGCGGTGCGAAAAGCGCGAGCATGTGTAAAAGGCGGCGGGACGTGCGTGATGCGGAAAAGTCTATAATTTAAATATGTGTTGTAACACTTTGTTTTAATGGTTGTAAGTTGTGTGGCCACTACAAATTGTTGGTCTGCGACCGCTACTAACTGACTCATTGTCAGTAAAAAAAAAATGTTAACTTAACTGCGGCTGCGAGCGATAAACAGCTTTAAAGTAATCGAGTCCCATAATAAGCATAAAATATAACGCGCATATAAGCTTACAAAGTACCGAGATGAACTGGGGGGCGAAAAGTACAAAATAAAACTGGATGGTAAAGTTGGGAGTACGGAAAACTGAAAAGCGTTTTCCACTGCCACTGATGGCACCACTGATGATGTCATCAACGCCAAGCAGGGATGTTCCCGAATTATGCATCCTGGCAGATGAACATTCCCCGTTGAGGACACAAAACTCCCCGAAATCAATAACAATAACAGGAGAGTTGAGATCTGCCGCAGACGTCGCCAACTCTCCGGCCAGACGTCCCGCCAAAGTGGCGCCAATATTTTTAGCCGTCTCGCTTCCGGATTTTCCGGGGTTGATTACCTCCCCCATCCCCCCTCTCCATTCCCCTCATACGTTCGGGAAAACCACCCCCGGCTTTTCATCTCGCTTCTGTTTGTGCTGTTCCGTCTGACTTGTCATGGCTTTTTGATGGCTCTAGTTTGGGGCTTTTCTCAAATAGTTTTCACAGTTGCCCCCTCAACTTTTATGCAAGTGTGTGTTTTTTGTTTGGCTCATGTGACTCATGTTGCATAAAATATTTAAGTATGCAGTGCATAAATTCATTTACCTTAAATATAAACAGAAATATTTCTTTGAACCCAGCAGCTTTCTCAATCAGAATTTTACCTCCCTTGAGGGCAATTGAAATTTTTAATTGAAAACAGGAGCCAGAGATTGTTTCTTCTTTTTATTGTTTTTGGTATATTGGTATATTGGTATATTTTTTAGACCTGCGGTTTTTGACCAGGCTTGAACTTCACTTTGAACTCTTAATTGGCGTCTGGTGTTAATTGGATAATAATTAATTAAAGACTGACAATTGCAGGTGCGATTTCGAACCCTTGTAACTGATTGGCACTATGCATAGATAAATTAAGATACCCTTAAGACATTTTATATTAGAAGAAATGTTAAGAGATATTTTTCAATTTTTCCTTGAGTTCAAAAAACGAATATAAGTCAGCTTTGTGCATTTGTTTTATAAATGTTTAACAGTGCCCATTATCGACTAATAATTTATATTGCTTAATGGAAGTCTTTTTGAGTTTCAGTTGGTTTTCCTTTTATTCCCACATATCTTCTTTTGTTTAATACCTACTGCACCCACAGTGAAACACTCATCTGGTTGCACTAATTAAATAATAAATTTAAGTAGACGGCGTTGTAGTTGCCGTTGTAGTTGTGCACCACATATATGTGTTCGCTATCTTTTGACCAACGCATTTGTTTTATGTCATCGTCATTTCATAAAAAGCTTTTCCCATGACGACAAGGACGACCTACACTTGCATCCCGCCGCTGCATTCACGTTGCGTTCCTGTTTCTGGTAATTACTCAAGCAGACGTCGAGGATTCGAGAAGGACCTCCACTTCCCCTTTCCCCTTCCCTGTTCACCCAGAGAACCTCCCACTTGTCGGCTGGCAAACATAATGAACATATGTGACTACTCGTGACACGGAACACTGGCGTAAAAAGGCTCTCTCCACTCACACCACTCCAACTACGCACACACACACATACGTACACACACTCTCAGCCAAGTGGGCGTGTGCACTGGCTGCACAGAAGGGGCGTGGCCAGAACATTACGCGCACATAATTCTAATTAGTGGCATATGCCACCAGATAGCAGATAGCATTGCCCACAGTAACCAGTGCATAGTCTCAAATTATGTTATTATGCCTTTTGAACGACCGGATTATATTGCAAAGGTCTGAGGGAAAAAACAGCCTTCGAAGGCTTCACCAAAAATAATGTATATAAGACTTTATTATACAAGCGGAGTGTGGTATTCGGAAACCATATTTGTACATGGTTTCTTACCAGATTTTTTCAGTAAGATTTCTTTTTTATTTTCTAAGAAATCTATTTGAAATTTGTACTTATCAAAAAAATTGGTACACACCTTCATACCCAAAAAAAAAATGTACTTTATATTAACATTGAATATCAAAAGTAGGCCTTGTTAAAACCATCATAAGTTGTGTTTACCAAATTTCTTATTTTAAGTCACTCACAAACAAATTTTCGTACAATAAGGATTAAAACCAAATTGTGATAACTGGTATGAACCAATTTTAAAATGTCCAACCTTGATGATTTCTTTGCCAAGAAGGACAATAAAAAGACAAAAAAAAAAAGTCGAATTACTTGGCCACCGATGAGTTGTACAAAACGCTGGAGGAATCCGCAAAGCAAACAACCGAGGCTGGAAATGATGCCGAAAAGGTTCCAGGAAACGAATCTCAGTTGGAGGGTGGTCCCTTGGGATCCATCAAATTGCCTCTGAAACCGATAGAATTCGGCATTTGTTTCTCTGAAGAGACGGTCGACGATGAGGACGAGTGGCGCGATTTTACAGAGGAGAATCGCATGCAATATACGAGTGCCCGCCGTGGCATTCAACTGAGCCAGAGTTCCACAATTTTGTCCTCAATCGCCGGCGGCGAGGTGAAAACTCAGGATTTGGACCAACGGGATACCGGTGGCGATGGCATCGACGTGGGAGGGGATGATGGAATGCCAAATAACAATTGTCCATGGCAAAAGTTGGAAGGACAAATTCAGCAGACCCAAAAAAATTTAAGGCCTGATGAGCAGTCGGCAAAACAGGAGGATTTGTTTGAGGTCAAACGTCAAGTCTACGTACCACCTGCTTTGCGCCAGAGCCAAGGTGATTTCAATCAGCGTCATCAGGTGGAAAACCGTCCACGTAACACTCCATCCAAGATATCGGGAAAACCTCAAGCTCCCGATCTCAACAGTCCCGAGTTTTTCCCCAGTCTCAGCGGCCCTAAAACAACCAAACGCAACAAGTAACCCAGAACAGGATGGACATTTTCAATGAAATGTTCTAAGTTTTTTTTTTTATTTGCTGTTCTAAGTTTGCTGAGATCAATTATTTGTGGGAAAGTTTGGACTGCAGATCCACTCGCTCCAATAAAAATGAAAGCATAGCCCTCTGTTTTGTGGTGTTTTACTCGTAAACAAATTTGCACTCAACAGGCCCATTAGCATTACACGACTTTTTGGTTGCTCCCCGATGTGTCGTTAGCTGTAAACGAGCCAAATATTTACAATCAAATCGGTTTTAGCCCAAAATGCACCCGACGGACTGTAAGCTAAGCCAAACAGACCCCCTTTAAATTTAGTCGGCCCGAAATTTCGAAACCATTGTTTCGCCAGCTTTGTAAAACATTTAATTAAGGAGACATATTTATTAAAATAATGCATGTTGGTTCTTTAAAATATTTAGTAAATATTCACTGATGGTACTATTAGCATATTAATAATGTATATTCAAATATTTATTTAAATAAAATAAATCGTAAAATTCTCCAATAAACTCAATTTATTAACATCTATTGCTGTTGCCGACGGGAACTATGCAAACATTTTTCTTCCACTCCGCATTCCTGTTCTCGGCTTTAATTGCAGAGGGACAAACCCTACTTTCCTTCTAACCAGGCTAACAATGTCCGCCGTAGGGCCCGTAGCAGGAGCAGCATCCGTAGGGTCCACAGGGACCGCAGCAGTGGTTGATCGACCGGAACCACTGGCCATTATAGGGTCCGCACAGCAGACAGGGTCCCAGGCCGCCAGTCGGTCCACAGCAAGTGCCGGGCATCGAACACATTCCGGGGTTGCACATCTTGCTCTATAGTTTTTTTTTAACAATTTAAAAGTAATTTAATTATATACTCAGATATAAAAATTTGTTTCACTCTTACACTAGCCTGTTTACGGAAGTAGGATTTTAAGTCCGAAAAAAATTTGGTCGTCCCCCAGAGAGATGTTTTTGGTAAGAAAGATCGGAAGAGAATGAACAATAGCTATCCACGAGGAAAACTAAGTTAAAAAGTTTTAACAAAGATTTCATGGCCTTCTAGGTGAAGTTTTCATGGCTAGCTTTAACCAAGTTTTAGTGAGGAGTATAAGATATATCTTATCTTCAACTGAACTTCTTCTATTCCCAATTCTCTAATGGTTTCCAACTTTTTTATGACACTACCTGCAGAAACTCTTAAAGCATCTCCCAAATAGAATTCCACTTCATTGCTCCACTTAAAATACTCCAGTGCGTCTCCAAGGACTTCTCATTCCCTTAAACTCGCCCAATGTCATAATTTAGCCGAAGGCGCAACAAGTTGGAAAACCCGCGACTGATTTTCCTTTTGCCTCTCTCTTTTATTGTTTTACCGAGAGCAGAGTTTTCTTAAGCATTTTGTGTGCGGGCAAAGCACACAAACCTATATTTCTTCTCAGCCGGGATTCGGTCTTCTTGTTTACGGACAACAGAGCCGGGATTCGCAGTCAAAGTGAAGTAAAGTCACTTGACAAGTTTTGTCACGTGCGTCACATGTTGGAATGCCTCCCCGCCCACCGCCCGCCGCCCACTTTTCCGAGGCAAACGCCCGCCCGCCCCCTTTTCGCCTTTCTGGCTTCTGAGCATTTCAAGCAATTTTCCAGGCATGCCTTGCCGCTTCTGTCGTTGTCGTCATTTCATTGTTTCAAAATTGTTGCTCATGTTGTTCCTGTTGTTGACCCGGTTTTTCGTCTCGTTTCGTTCTTTTTTTTATTTTGTTGTTTCGCCTCACTCAGCCACGTTTCTTGGTCGGCAGCTGAATGAGCTCATGTTGGCGTAAATGTGTTTGTGATTATTTAGTTATGGCATCTAATTGAGTTTTGTGTTTGTTTGGTCGGCGTGGGAGTGTGGAAAGTGCTTATACAATGGCTAATTGAGTCGATTACTTCAACATTGCTCTTGTTAAGCCTGAAAAGCCGAGTGCCAAGGTAAATATACTCAAAAGTTGAACGGTGTGATTCAATTAAGGAAAGGCTTTATTTTGAACCCAAAGGAATAAAGGAAGACGGAAAAAAGAGTTGCAAAAAAGTTTTATATATCAAATTGCACCCTAAAAAATGCATAGTCTCAAGCTTTAAAACTTTTATTTCTTTTTGAAAATTATTTAATAACCGAATTAAATTTATAAGAAGAAATTTCTTTGCATCAGATTAGCTTCTAATCTTTTACCAACATTAATTTAAAGCACTTCCGCTGCAGCCTAGGTAGACTTTCCTGCGGCTTGAGCTTATTTTCCGTTCCGATTCGGAAACCTCAATACCCCGTAAAGTACCCCTATCCCCTATTCGTATCCACATCCCCATACCCATACCCGACTATATCCCGACATCATCTCCATCGCGTGCTGGTCTCGTATTACAGCATTGCATACTTGCAGGCGCGTGCGCTCCCATTCGATTTGAACTCTGTGGCGACTTTAAAGAAAAAGCATCAGGCAGCCGAATATGTTGTGACTCTGAAGCTTAATGTTTCGTGCTGGCCTTGTTTTTTTTTTCCTGCATTTTTTCCGGCTTCTTTGCAGCTATTTTTACAGTTTTCAGCAATGCCTGTTTCAGCGTGCTGAGAAGTTCAATGTCCTTCATTTTCGAAGCGTCCGTGCAGCGGAAGTTTTGGGGCGATAAGTTTTTTGTTCCGTGGCTTATGTTTTTGATTTATTTATTTGTAAGTTACAGCTTAAGAGAGGAAGAAGGAACCTCCTTTATAGTTTTAATTTGGTTAATGCTGCATAATTACATCACTAATTAAATCCAGTTAATTTATTTCTTTTATGCATTCATAAAGCAACAGGTGCTTTAAGTTTACCACAAACATTTATAAGTTCTCTGAGTTATTGAAAAAAATAAACCGAAAAGGCATTTCATATATGGTGGTTCTTAATGTTAAAAATCCCATCCAAGTTGATCTGATTGTGGTCACTTGACTGCCTGAATAATTCAGAGATGCGGATGTATTGACGAAGCGCTCTCAGACAGACATAATGGATGCTGTCTGACTCGGTCGGTGGATCAGGATGCCATATCTTCATCAGCCCGTGCATTGGCATCAACAACATGATTATCGTTGTGAGGGAATTAGAGCGAGTCAAGTGAACTCCGCCTTTCACTCTCTCTCTCTTTCCCGCTCACTCTTTCCATTGGGATTTCTGCAGCGAAGCATAACTTATGCCCATTGTAGTTATGCATTGAATGTTTTGCTGAAGTGCACAGCCAAACAACTGCTCAATCACTGACTGAATCGACAAGTCAGTGCACAAAAACCCCGGCGATATGAAGACGTTTGTGGATTTATAAAGCACTGCCGGCAATTATCCGCCCAAATGGTTTTTGTCTATAGCCAATCATGCGTTCCAAGGAGAATGAGCAGTTGTGTCGGCAGACTTTGCATTGTGCATTATTCAGAATTTGGTAAATTAGAAAACGCGAATATACTTTCCCACTGAAAATGATTTTAGACCATTACATAGATTGAAAGTCCCTACAAACGCTTAATAAATTTGATTAACTTTGTAGATGGTTGTCAACGGTCTAACTTCTACTTTCCGAAATAGACTTTAAACTGGTCAAACCATCAGAACAACCTGCAAAAAATTTCCACTCACCAAATGACCCTTGATATTCCATATTTGATCTGATTTGCACTCTGCTCCATCAATATAAGCACACATAGAAGTAAAATTAATTTTTTTGCCCATCAGCAAATGGAATTGATTTTCTCCACTGCCCAGAAATTTTGCAATTATACAAAAAGGTTTTGCCATGCAATATGTAAACAAACCAAATTTCAAGAGTTTGCATTCAATGAATTTAAATGTTCGGATATTGACCGAAGAGGCTATTGAAAAAGTGCGCATAAATCATGCAATTAATCTTAATTTGAGTAACTAGACCAGATGTCTGCACCTATACCAATAAATCTAACAAATTGCCTCTTTAAAGTGTCGTTAAAGTTCAGTTTAAGGATGCAGCTTTTCACGCTAAAGGAGTGCCAGATAAAAAAGTTTATAATTAAAACTTTACGCACGTTTTGGCCAAGTAAATAGCACAGACGGCCAACACAAACACAATGCCAGCGCTAACGCAAACAAGGAGCCATGCTTTTGGTCCTTTTGGTACGCATCCAACGTACGAGAATTTTGTGTTGCATACTTAAGTGGGCAAAGTCTTCAGAGACGGAACGTATGCCAGTGTTAAAGGATCCCGGTGGATGGGGCGTTGCAGGTCCTCGAGATTGACACTAATTATGGGACCAGATCTTGCCGGACCACCTTCTTGCATTCAAATAGTGCCCAGAGTCAGGAAACCACAACTGTGTAACCATCTCGTAGCTGACAAACATATTATTCATGAGCAACTGTTAAAACAACAGAGCCGAAATTGTAAGTCAAATGAAAGTTCATATGTAAATATTTTCAACATGCTGTGTTTGTTTTAAAATTTGGCCAACCAGTTTGAATTTGGTCAGTTGATTGTTGGTTGCTGCATAAATAATTGAAAATTGTACGGCAAGGGCAAGCCTATAATTTAAAACATGACTGTTTCCCTATTTTTGTTTATACTTTAAACAAAGATGAATTTCTCTTATTAAAAGGATTTTCGTTTGACAACTACTACTAAAAGTGTTTACATAAAATACTGTAAATATTCGTAAATAGAGGGGAGCCTTTCAACAACCGAACTAAAAGAGCAAAAGGCATTTCAAGTTAATTGTCTGAGAATTGTTATTGGCTGACGGCGGTTTCGTTTTATTTTTTTTTTTTTATTGTATGCAAATTAATGTAAATTGCTGCGGCTTTGTCTTTTGTGCAGCAGAAAATGTTCGTGTAATAAAAACACCCAAAGGGGAAAGTATAATAAGTTCAAAAACGATAGCAGCAAGTATTTAATCCAAGTTATGTAAACTATTAAAACAATCTTATAAAAAAAGACGATTGGTGAATATTAATAGCAATTTAATGCACCATGACTTTTTTTAGCTTAAGGGGGCTTCTCATGTAACATGCCAAAAAGTAGTGGTTTTTTGGGAATTTTTTCACTTGGAAAATGAAAACTTATACGAATAATTTTTGCACATATTTGAAGACATATTTAAAGTATGAGAAAAACATTTTTGAAAATTCTAAAAAACAAAATGGCGGACTTATTCAAGGTCGCGTGTGGCTCGACGCGGCTGAGGGACTTATTGCGGTACAGTGCACAGTGGTCGGTCTTGTATGGAGAAGGCGGCCAAAAATACTTCTAGTAGGAATATCGAGTTGAAATTTTTTTTGTAGGTATATAATAGCGTATGAATGTTATATTTTAAGTATCAGCACCATTAAAGCCAAATATATCCGCTACCATCGTGTTTACCATAAAATGTTCAAAATTTGACTCCCAAATGCATACTACACTTTTTTTAAAGCGTAACTGACAAAAATTATATTTATTAAACACTTAATTTTGGTTAAAAAATTAACAAAAGATAACAAAAAACGATGATTAACATAAATTTAAAGTAAAATAAAAGTAATAAAAAATAAATTCTTCAATATATATTAGAAATGGTTACTCTAGAAAACCAAAAACTGATGAAAAAGAAACGAGGTACTCGTCTTCTTTAACAGATTCTGAACGGATTCGCAGCTATTCGCAGATGATTTTCACAGATAATACTAATTAAATATTGATTAATATTTAAAAAAATTCATTATTGAGAAGTTTTGGGAACACAACTTTTACCTTTGCAGAATATTGATGTTTAGTTCTACAGAACTTGTAAAATTGAGGTGGATAAACAATTATTGCCACAGTCACATATAGCATGCAAAATTAATAAAAATTAGAAAAACACAATCTAAAAACCTTCAACTTTAATATTCATTTCACTTTCGGATATTAAACGATTGTTTTATATTTTTTTTTAATTATTAACTTAACGTTTTCAGAAGACATGCGCACGCTTTCAGTTGATCGCTGGGTTTGTGCGCTCACTTTGCGCGCCAATTT